TCGCTTGTAATCTTAGACGTGGGCCAATCTCTAATGGGTTTTACATTTTCTTCATCTACTTTGATGCTTTGTGTGCTGACAAAAAAACCCAAAAATATTAGTTTATCACAACAAAATGTACACTTTTTGACATTTGAGTAGAGTTTATCCTTTTGTAATATTTTCAAGATATTCTTAACATGCTCAAAATGATTCGCTATATATCAAAAAATCATAAAGGTATACAATTACAAACTTATCAAGATACAGTCGCAAGATATGATTCATCAAATGTATGAAATTACTAAGAGCGTTAGTCAACCCAAATGACATAACTAACCACTCATACAAACCTTATTTAGTTTTGAAGGTAGTCTTCCATTCGTCACGAGCCTTCATGTAGATCTGATGATATCTACTCTTCAAATCTATCATGGTGAAGATGTTTGTACCACTTAACTCAACGAGCATATCTTCGAGCTTAGGAATAGGGTGTCTATATTTATCCGTGATTTTATTAACAGCCCTACAATCCACATACGTCCTCTATGACCCATCTTTTTTGGGAACCAAGAGGACTGACAGTACACAAGGTCTCAAGCTTTCACGAACATCTCCCTTCGCTAGCAACTCTACTTATCTTTGAAGCTCCTTTATCTCCTCGAGATTGCTTCGATAGGCAAGTTAGTTGGGAATTGATGATCTAGGGCCAAAGTCTATTTGGTGCTTGATCCTTCATATCAATGGTAATTTATTTTGTATCTATTCTAAAAATGCATTGTCGAATTCCTGCAAAAGAACAATAAAACACTAAGCACAGAGAGATTAAGGTCAGTTAAATTCAAATAAGTCTCTTTATATCGAAGTACAACTATACTTTGAAGCTTTTTTATCTCCTCGAGATTGCTTCGGTAGGTAAGTTAGTTGGGAAATTGATGATCTAAGGCCACAGTTTATTTGGTGCTTGATCCCTCATATCGATGGTAATTCGTCTTGTATCTCTTCTAGAAATGCATTATTGAATTCCTGCAAAAGAATAATAAAACAGTAGGCACAGAGAGGTTAAGGTCAGTTAAATTCAAATAAGTCTTTTTGTACCGAAGTACGACTATACTTAATTTATCACAATTTGTTTTCCTCAACTCTCTCTCCCTCACAAGTAGACACTCTTTTTTCTACCAACTCTTGTCTTTCATTGGACCTCCTCTTTTTTTTTAGGCCTCTTACCCTCATTTGGCCTTTACTTTTTTAGGGCCTCCTTATCACTCATTGGGCCTTCTATTTTTTGGGCCTCTTTTCATTCACTCAATGGGCTTTCTTTTTTCTTTTTGGCTTATTTTGTTTATTTTTCTTTTTCTTTTTATTTGTGTTGTTCTGATATTCCTTCCATGGACTTCTTAATTTTTAGTTGGTCTTTACACACCTCCTTAGTTGTCAACGAGATAAAAGTATGATTTCTCTCATTAAAACTAAAGGTGTAGCAGTTCCTGAAATTGTCATGAGTAAATTGTCAGTCGTATTGTTGATAAGTGTGTATTTTATACACAGTTCTGATTATTTTTGCTTTAGTTTTTGTTAGTTTTGAGTAATTTTTCATTAGTTTTTCATTTGATTTTAATTTATTTAGCCACTTTTGTTTCTTTTATGAATTTTACGTGATTTTGGGAGAATTTGAAAGTTTTGTATAAAGGCACAAAATGGCAGAAACATGCACCGGCAAATGCATGCTCATATAGGTGGTGATGCACATTAATCCTTGAGTCCCTCCACACATAATTTTGAAGGCAAAAATTTGCATTATCATATGCAGAAAAAACAGAATTTTTACTTTTCCTAAATTGCATAGGATGCATTATTTTCTTTCATATTTCATGATTTGTACATAGAGTATTTTGATATTTACCTTAATATAAATGGCTTATTATTAGTATTCTAGAGAGTTGCACTTTTCTATTAGAGCGATTGTTCTAAGTTAGAGAATTTCTTCTTTTTCTTTTTAAAAGACAAAAAACTCCACTGGAGAGGAAATCAAACACAAAATGAAGAC